TTGGGAACACACTTCAAGGCCACTTCAGGGCCTTGGGAGGGTTCATAAGGGAATCTGGGATGCGGGTTGTCATCTCTTCTCCCAGTTATAGGCAGTGGCTCTGAAAGAAGCCGAAGTGCTCAGTCTACAAACACATGGCCCTGTGGCTGGTGTTACCACCACAATTTTGGGGTTTTCGACAATGGGATGGCCTACATGGCACCAGCCTTGCTGGTGCTGGATGGGGTTCATCTTTCTGAAAGGGGGAAGATGGTGTTGGCTCATGAACTAGCAGGGCTCTTGACCAAGCTTTAAACTACACTTGTTGCAGGAGGGGGATATTATCTGGCTTGATAGTGACAAGCCATGGGATGACCCTCCAAGTTCTGAGGGATGGGTCACAGAATCACAGCTTGTCCAACTGTCAACCTAACTGACAAAAATAGACACCCACACAACAAACAAGGAGCATCATCCCTAAACTAGACCTCCCAGCACTACATCAACCCGTCTTTTGAACACCTCCAGGGATGGTGCCTCAACCACCTCCCTGGGCAGCCCATTCCAATGCCTGATACCCCTTTCAGTGAAAAAATTTTTCCTAATATCCAGCCTGAACCTACCCTGGCACAGCTTGAGGCCATTTCCTCTTGTCCTGTTGCCTGTGACTTGAGAAAAGAGCCCGACCCCCATCTCTCTACACCCTCCTTTCAGGGAGTTGGAGAGAGCAATAAGGTCTCCCCTCAGCCTCCTCTTCTCCAGGCTGAATAACCCCAGTTCCCTCACTAGTGAAGGCCCTCAACCTGTTGCTCTGAGACATGCTGGGTATGCTGCAGCACACTGGAAGCCTTACGGGGAAAAGCCAGGGACTCCTGAGGCGATAGGAACTGGGGAGTCACAGATTAAATACCTCAAAGGAAGGCCAACTGAGGAGCAGCACAAAGGAAATGCAGCCACTCAAGCCCATAAGCCAGCTTCACCAGGGGCCCAGCTGAAGTGCCTCTATGCAAACATACCTAGCATGGGGAACAAACAGGAGTTAGAGATGTGCACCCACCTCCATGGCTATGATCTCATTGGCATCGTAGAGATGTGCTGGGATGGCTCCTATGACTGGAGTGTTGGAATGGAGGGATACAGGTTCTTCAGGAAGGGCAGGCAGGGGAGACAAGGAGGGGGTGTTGCCCTCTATATCAATGATCAGCTGGAGTGCATGGAGCTCCACCTGGGGATGGATGAAGAGCCAACAGAGAGTTTATGGGTCAGGATTAAAGGGAATGCAAGTGCAGGTGATGTTACAGTGGGAGCCTGCTACAGACCACCTGACCTGAGGACAGAGCAGATGAGGCCCTCTATAGACAGATAGGTGCAGCATCCCATTCACAGATCCTGGTCCTCATGGGGGACTTCAACCACCCTGATATCTGTTGGAGGGACAATACAACAGGGAACAAAAAATCCAGGAAGTTCTTGGAATGTGTTGATGACAACTTTCTTGTTCAAATGGTAGAGGAGCCAACAAGGACAGGAGTCATATGTGACCTTGCTCCTACCACCAAGGAGGGGCTGGTGGGGAATGTCAAGCTCAAGGGCAGCCTTGGCTGCAGCGATCATGAAATGGTAGAGTTCAAGATCGTTAGGGCAGTAAGGAAGGTGCTCAGCAAGCTCATTACCCTGGACTTAAGGAGAGCAGACTTTGGCCTCCTGAAGGACCTGCTTGGCAGGGTAACATGGGAAGGGTTAGAGGAAGGAAGCTGGTTAGTATTCAAGGATCACCTCCTCCAAGCTCAGGAGCTGTGTAGCCCAAGAAAGAAGTCAGGCAAAAAAGCCAGGAGGCTTATGTGGATGAACGAGGATCTCCTGGATAAGCTTAAAAGCAAAAAGGAGGCCTACAGAGGGTGGAAGCAAGGACAGGTAGAATAGGAGGAATACACAGGAAACTGTCTGAGTGGCCAGGAACCAGATTAGGCAAGCTAAAGCCCAGATAGAACAAAATCTGGCCAGGGACATCAAGTACAACAACAAAAACTTCTGTAAGTATGTCAGATATAAAGGGAAGATTAGAGAAGATGTGGGCCCTCTCTGGAAGGAAACAGGAGACCTGGTCACCCAGGATACGGAGAAAGCTGAGATAATGAATGACTTTTTCTCCTCAGCCCTCACTGGCAAGGGCTCTAACCACACTGCCCAAGTTGCATAAGACAGAAACAGGGCCTATGACAAAGAGTCCAAACAGGAAGCAAGAATGATCAAAGCTGAAAGTCATCATCTGTAGTAACTGAGTTAATGGGCATTCTTTAGCCACTCTTTAATCTAGAGAAAATTTTCAAGTGGGATAGCATTACCAATTTTAAAATATGCAATATGGTTGCAGAGAACAAGGCAATAAACTGTTTTCTATACCCACAGAAGGCAGAAGGAATAGCAGTAATGGTTTTAAACTGCAGCAATAAACATTCAGATAACACATCAGAAAATCTCTCTCTAAGAGATAAAATAATCAGAATAAACCAAAAGACATTAAGAAGAGGTTAGACAAACAATTGTTAAGGAACAACATACGGGTGATATGTGTATTTTATTTATGTATTTGTATATGTTATTTAAATACATACATATGCACATGGAAAACCAGTGATCTCTGAAATACCTCCCAGTCTATTCTTGTCCATGAATTTCCATAGTAAGTATATGTAATACAAGTGAGAAAAATTATTTAACATACTTCTTCCCCAATGGTAATTCTATTTCAGTGCAGTCAAACCCACAGCTTACAAGCAGCATATTGGTCACAGAACCTGAAACATTGCTCACTGGCATCGGAAATTAAAAAGATTAAACAAAGCCAACGAAAGAAGCAGAGTATAACATTACTTGTAAAACAATAGACATTCTGAATTACTACCTACGAGCCAGCAAACAACAGGGGAAAAAACACTGCCTAGAATCCTGCCCATAGGTATATCAGCATCAAATTTACATACAGATCAAGTACCAATACCATATAAACCACCATTTTAAAAACAGTCTACAACAGTAACAGTATTAGCAACCTAAGAGTTCGCAGAAAGCGCTGCTGATGCAGTTTTCTATAGGTACTTTTACTTTCCTCCTGTTACCATACTAAAGTTCAAAATTATCTCGTGAAGCTAAGATCACTATCACTAAACCACTACAAGAAACAGGCGTAAACAATGAAAAATGCCTTAGAATTAGACCATGCTGGTGGTCTGCCTTGTAAAGACAAAGAAATGGAACTCACAAACTATACAAGCTGCAGGTGAATTCTCCAGCTATTCATACCCCATGCATTTTGAACTTAAAACACAGACCAAGTGAATGAGTGACAGAACAGAAGAGTATCTCCCCAAAATTAGTCTCCTGCCAAGCACCCACAGCAAACTTGTGCAAGGTCAAACATTCAAATGAACATGTAAAAATCCATTGCCTATTTTTTCACTATTGCCATTTTATTATTTAAGATTATTAGAGTGTTTTTTTTAAAAAGCAACTTTTTGGAAGGAAAAAAGGATAAAATCCTGCTTTTCCACATTTTTTGTGAACCATAGGTCACATTTTGCTGCAACCTTAATCGCCCATTAAGAGGAATAAACCATACCACACTTGTTTCAATTTTTTAACTCCTAGATGCTGTATGAGCCGGAAGGGTGGGAGGAAGGCCACCCTATGAAGAAACCTTAAGGACGCTTCTAGCAGGAGATTGAGAACATTCTTACAACACCTGCAAAGAGGTGGCAGTCACAATGACACCGTTTTGTTACCCTTCCAGCTTTTGCTGACTGGCTGAGGAGCGCTGAGCTCTCCCTGCTGCCCACTGCCGCAGCCCCCAGCCTTCCCCCACACCTTGCCCCCTCGCTGCCCGCTCCCCAAAGATACCCCAATGCCTCAATACCCTGCTATTTGCTGCCCAGCGCAAGGCTCAGAAAGTATTTAAGCATCGAGAGACCTCAGCTAGGAGGGTGACTCTACAGCCACCACTCTCCTTTTCTTGAGGAGTTCTTGAACTCTTGAGGAATTCAGTGAGGCCGTGTGAGAAACACCGACTCACATCTTAGAACTTAAAGAGGACAAAGTTACCGAAACAAAGGTTAAAACATAATAATTTATTAATATGAAACACCGCTGTTTCAGGTGCACCAAAAATAGATGCAGGATGATCTTTTTTCAGGTGCACCAAAAATAGGTGCACAATGATCTTTTAGCTTTTAGGTATTTTATACCTTTATCCCAGCCGCTTGAGTTTCTGTCTCCCTTCTTATTGGCTGAGAAGTTGGAGCTCACATTCTTCCCGACCGCTTGACCTATTACAGGTTTATTTCACACTTTTTCCCGTAGAAGGCACACACACACCTATTCTAGGAAATCATTATCCTAAACACACCTCTGATTAGTTGAATATGCTACACGTTATTTCAGAGTCTTTGCTACCATCTACTTGGCAGATTTACCAGACTGGTTTCTTTGGCCTTATTGATACTCCCCTACCCTCTGGGTTTTTGTGTTGAAGGCCATGTTCTAGCCTGTTTCTTTTCACCTAGATAACGCTTTGTGAACAAGGATCCTTTGACAGACCAAGGAGATTTCTGGGGATTAATTGGATACAATTTATTAGACTCCACTATTACTAAGGCTTCTTTGTTAGCACTATCACACTAGCAATGATACATCAATTAGCTGAAGCAAAACTTAGCTTATTTCCCACAGCCGCAACAGCTTCTAGCTCCCCGAAGGCAAAGGACGGCCTTTAACCGACCAGAGAAACAGAGAAGGAAGCCGCGGCTCCCTTTCAGTGGCCCCCATCTCCCAGAAACACTCGTCTCTGCCTCCTTCCCTCAGCAGGCCCCCTCGGCCTTGCAGCCCCATTCCCCTCACAGACCTCAACTACTGACCCGCCCATCCCGCCGGGTGCACGCGCCGGCTCGGGCCTCCCACTGTTTCGGCGAGCGAGCTGTCCGTCAAGCGGCAGGCGCTGGGTGAGGGCCAATCAGGCGCGCTCCTCGGGACGTGGGCGGAGCCTTGGCGGCAGGATGGGAAGCGGCGAGGCCTGGCCCCGGTGAGGTACGGGGAGGGGGTTAGGTCGCGGTTGTGCCCCCGCCTCAGGTCGGGGGGAGCCGCGGGGCTGGTCCTGGTCCAGGTCCAGCAGGGAAGCTGCCAGGAGCGAGGAAGTGCCCGTAGTGCGGGCGGTCAGCAGGTCCGGTGGCTTTCAAAACCGGGTGTGTGTGAGGGGAGGCCCCTCCGGCAGCAGCGTGGGGCCAGGCTTGGGCCTGGAGAAGCGGGCAGGCCGCTGTGTGTCGCTTCGCTTTGTCCCCACGTTGTCTCCTCGGCTCGGAAGGAAGCCTGTTGCTAAGGCCCGGCTACAGCTCGGCCGTGAGTCACAGGTGGTGGTGAGGGAGGGCTGTGACGCCGTCCCGCACACCGGAGAGCTCGGCAAGAGGGTGTTTATTAGCGCTACGGACCGGAGGCGGTCAGTGCCGAGCCCTCCTCGCCTCAGCCTCCCTTCACACGGCCGGTGGTGCTGTTCTGCCCTTGCCTTTTTTAAGGGCCTGTTGCCTTGAAAGTGTTTCTCTTTAAAAGTCAATCATTTTCATCAACGTGCCTCTTAGGCTGTGATCTCTAGGCTGCTGCGAAGCAGTTTGAAACCAGTGGAAAGAGGCAATGTTAAGAAATTATCGTGTATGTTGGACTTTTCCGGGCAAGTAGCATTGAAGTATGTGTGTATGTTTCTTTATAGGTAGAAATTAAGAGAAACTACAGGACAGGTAAAGAAAAGCATGAATAGAGCAATCGCAAGCGCAGCTACCGCTCCCGTTAGAAGACGCAATCGCAGTAACTGTACTGAAAGGCAAGTATTTCACTGAATTTCAGTGAATTTTTAGAGTTGGAAGGGACCATAGAGATCATCTAGTCCAACTCCCCTGCTAAAGCAGGGTTGCCTACAGCTTGTCAGAGCATGTTACTCAGGACTGCATCCAGGCGGGTCTTGAAACTCTCCAAAGAAGGGGACTCCACAACCTCCCTGGGCAGCCTGTACTTAGCATGCGTTAAGCTGTCAGATGTTAGGCCTTATTAAATTTGCAAAATAGTGTCTGTCTAGAACTGGGAGGGTTGCCATCTAAAAATCTAGCAGACAGTATTTCTGGTATATCTGTCATCCCTGGTGGGAGTGGAATTGCATTGATTTCTGGAAATTTATCATATGTTCACAACTGTATATTGATTTTAAACAAAGATGTGGTTCCATGAGCTACTCCATTCAGGTGTGTCTGTCCATAAACTCTTCATCAATATGCAAAGATAGTTTAAGGAAGAAAAATGTTTGCAAGTACTTCATTCCACCTGCCCATTTATTTTATGCTTTAGCCCATTTATTTTATACTAGTGTAAAAACTGTCATTAAAGAATCTTCCTGAAAATTTGAAAGCATGTTAAGTGGTAATAATACTACATCTAGCAGATCGGGAAACAGAAACAAAGTCTCAGGAGTGATGCATTGCCTTGAAACCTGATACTTTCAGAAAAGCACATTTTAAACTTTAGAACTAATACTTGCCCCTGTTTGAGCTGTTTTTATGCTCCCTTTCTTTCCTGTGTTCCTTCTCGTGTTGCAGGACTAGAAAAGGCTAATCTATTACTTTAATGTTCTAAGCATTTTTTTTAATCTATTTTAGAGAAGGAGACATACACATATATACGAGTTGCCCCATTAGTTATATTTGTGTAAGACATGTTAGAAATGCAAATGGACCCTAATTCAGTGAATATAGAATTAAAAGGATTTTATTTAAAAATTTTAAATTGAAGGGCTTGGGTTTGGTGTGAGATGTTTTTCCCCTTATAGGTTGCATATGTTCTTTAACTATTTTCAAGTTGTATAATCAAACAGCAATAGGGCTGGTATTAGAACTAGAATATCTTTGTTATTCTGTTTTTAATAAATTACGACTCTTGCAAAACATCTTGGCCCAATGCTTTTAAGATGACGTATAGCAACTCCTGTCTTAAAAAGTGAGAATTGTATGGGTGATTCAGAAAACGTGCCAGTGCAATTTTGTCCATCAGTCCTGGATGTGCCCATTCAAATTAATTCAAAAAGAAGTAAGCTGCAGTTACCCTGTCAATTGCGATGGTTATTACAAAGGTAGAGACTTGTTTCTTGGAGTTTTCATTAAACTTCTGTTTATTTTGCACGTTTCTGAACCTCATCAATGAAATTCTTGTTATGAAGAGCCTGTTTGTGACCTGACATCAGTGTTTTACCCGCACTGGCTCTCACTTTATGCTGTGCAGACTTACATGCTTTCAAGGGTGGGCCTTTGTTTTAATCAGGGACTATAGTAAAATACCCAGAATTTATCTTTCACTGACAAGAGTTAAAGGCACTTGCAGAATCAGCGGCCACCACTAATGTTTTAGCAAGCAATTAAGGCTTTTAATATGTTGGTGTCTCTAATGTTCTTGAGAGGTTTTTAAGCTAAGTATTTTTGCTCTTTCATTATCATAGTTCAGCATATGGTGATGTGCACAGTGTGCTTATCACAACCCTGCAAAATTGTACTCTCGTAATGTCAATGACAAGCTGCTTTCTAGATTCTTTGGGAAAGATGCATAGGACAGTTGTGAACCTGTCTTGAAGGCAATGCAATTTTTTTTAGGCCAGAACGGAGGGAACCACAGACCCCGGTGAACGCGGGCGCCAGCAGCAGTGGAGATCCTTCTTCATCCAGTTTAACACAGAACTCTGCAGTACCAGGTAAGAGACCCTGTTTCTGGGTCAAAAATCAGTGTCTATGTGTTGGCTGTATGAAAAAAGTAGTAGTAGCTGCGTTAATAGTATGGTGCTACAGGAAGGATATAAGCAGTAAAGTTTGTAGAGAAAACTAACATGGGGTGATATAAAAAGATGTAGTAAGTGAGGATCTAGAGAGCAGGGCCAAATGCACTTTGAGGCCCACAAGCACTTCTCGTGTTTGAAAACTTGTGTGCTTAGCCAAGCTGATAGAAACTGGAAAAAAAAAAAAGAATTCTGTTTCTCTCTCCAGAAATCTTGCTTCCATAAGAAAATGAACTTTGTTTCTTTTCTTGTGTGTACTGAAGATGTTATAAAATACATCTTTCAGTAGAAACATTAAATAAGCAAAGAAAATAAGAGAGCATATAAAAAATTATAACTTGCATCCAGTTAGTCTTCTAAGACACAACGATTTACCACTTCAGGGGCAGGGTAGGGAGAGCATCTCTTTTTGTGCCTTCAGTATATTTTGTAGTCTGTAAGAAATACGCTTTGGCGAAGTGTTTGTTCGTTATCAGGGAGCTGACTGGTGAAACCAGACTTGAGGCAGTAGCCGTGCTATTGAGGAAGCTGTCCCCTTTGCATTTTGGTTTCCTGGCTCATGGAACAACCCTAGCAAAAGCGAAGCCTGTGGGAACATCTGTTTCTCCACAACAGGAGGGTCCTGAAACACCACTGACTCTGAGCTCCTAACAGCAGACAAAGCCAGAGTTTAAAGGGACCTTTTTTGTGTACCACCCTTTTGTGCTCCAGAGGTTGTGAGTGTGTTAGGAAATCTATCTGCAAAACTTTTATTGCTGTGTAATTAGGCTCTGTGTACTAAATGCGATGTTGAAACCAAAAAGATGCTGACAATTGTAAGCAGGAGCAAAAAGAGGTTACTTCAAATGCAATTTCTGGTAGTAGATAAAGGGTTAAATAAACACGCTAGAAATGAAGATGTTAACACTGACTTCCTCTGAATAAAATTCTTTGTCTTGAGACAATGTAGCATTATGAATCTGTCAAAGTATTTTACCTGGCTGCCTCTGTGAATTTACCTGGGCAGTGAAGCGCTAAAATTGCATGTGTTTGTTATCCCAGTTTATCTTTGGAAGGAGCCTCTGTGTATTGTCCAAATGTACTCATGATTGTATCAAAATCTCTTCTATATGTTGAAGAAAAGGTGGCTTGTTCTGGGAAGTGAAACACTTTATTTGGTTTGGGTGATACCTCATTGTCAATTTTTATTTCAGTTTGGGACTGCCCTACCTAGGCTTTTAGCCAAGAGTGTCTCCTCATCGTTGATTTATGAAGGAAGGTCATTTTTGTTCTGCAACAAAACCTTTCATTTCTGCTTCTCTGATCTGTCTGAATTTCATCTTGGTCAGTGGTGACATCCCTTCTGTACCTGTGTAATAGCACTGCTTTTGAAGCTATAAATATTCTTTTTTTTTTTTTTTCCTTTAAGTGACTGTCATCTATTCATAGTCTGTATCGTGCTTGGGACATGCTGGGAGCAAGAGCACTGAGCCTTGTGACTCTGACCTTCCCAGGAAGATGTGGGATGTCAAAGAGCAATAAGCAAACTTAATTTGCTATCCAATTTTGCCTGGGTTTTGCCACTTTTTTTTTTTTACTTTTTTTTTTTTTTTCCAAGAACTGCCAGGATTTTACTATGACTCAGAAAAGAACCGCTATTTTCGCCTCCTGCCCGGACATAATAACTACAACCCGCTCACCAAAGAGAGCATTCAGTACAAGGCCAAGGAACGCGAAAGACTGAGACTCTTAGAAGAGGATGAAAAACAAAAGAAGGTACATCCTGAAAAAGATTGCAATTAGGCTTTATTGTGCTCTGGCCCAGCACAGATTATAAGATAAAGCCTTTCAATTCTGACTGTGGTACAGTTCCCTAAGCTGTCCAAAGAAATGAAAATTTCTTTTTGTTGAGAATTCATAGTCCTTGAGGACTTTTGTTTGGCTGTTCCCCACAGGATTGAAAGCAAGTCATTACAAACAAACAAAAAAAAACCTTGTAAAGAGACAGGAACTGTGCTCAGAATTGGAGATTGTCCAACATTTACAGTTGAATCAGGACATTGGATGCCAGGTTTCAAATCCCTGCCTTGAACTGGCAAAGGGGGGGGGTCTTACTTTAAGTTTTCCCCATGTTTAATAAATGTATTGATCAAATTCCTGGACCTCGAAGAAACAATATTAATGATATTGTGTGGAAACAGCTTTTTCATGAAGAATTTTTTTGGACAGGTAAAATTAAGACAAATTTTATGTTTATGCCCGGAAAGCCTATGTGCTTTTCATCAAGTATTACAGCAGAATTAAAGCTGATGCTGCATATTGGTAATCTGGATGAAATACCTAACAAGGATGTCTCTTAATTACCTGAAAGCCATGTCTCACAACTTTACAAATCACAGCTCAGCTTAAATGTGCTGTCATTTGGAAGAAGTGAGCAGTATTTTTCTTCTTGGATAATGAAGTTCTCACTTCAACCAACTATTCAGGTCTTCAGTCTTCACTCTGAAAGTGCTGCTGTTGGTTTGGGTTTTCGTTGTTTTAGCTGTTTCCATGAGCAGTTTAGGTTTCATAGATACCAAACAGCTGATGGCCATGTGGCTGTTAATAGGACCTGTGGTTATACATCTCTTCTCAAAATCTGGCTATTACTGAATGAGACAGCTGAATTACACTCCCAGATAAGAACATTTTGACTCTTAAATACTTGCTTTGTCAGAGCATTATCAAAAAGATTTCTTACTCAGTAACTCTGCAAAGTACTCTATTCTTTGATCTCCCTGGAAGGTGTTTGTGTGAAATTTTAAAAAAGGATTAATAGAAAAGTAGTTTAGTGCAGCAATAAGACTGCATAATTAATAGCAGTCTTGTAATAGAAAGTTTTGCCGTATAGTAAGAATTTAAGGTTTTGCAGTGAAACTAGAAGGTGACTTCACACCTCAAGGCAGTACTGCTGATTATGTCAAGTGAAAACAGCAGCTGTTGGTTTTTGTTGGTTTTTTCCTCCAATTTTGTATTTATAGAAGCACCCCACATCTCACAGGAATACATCTTTGTTTCTTTCTTGTTTATTTACTGTAGTAGACCAGGGAGATGGTGCTGGAATGTGTTTTATAGACCTTCTGAAAATTTTAATCTATGTAGGCTAGAGGAAAAAGTTACCTAAATATCTCAAACATCTAAGACCCACAGCCGTGTTTGAATTGTAAACCAGCAAATAACTGAGTACACTTTCATGTTTTTCCCTTCCAGAAAACAGCAAGGGCTGGACTGAACTCATCTATGCTGTTACAGAAAAGGCAGCTGGGTTTGCTCAGCTCCACAAGTTATAGCAGGTACAATCATTTGCTTTGTCTTGTTTGCAGTGCCAAGTTCTGCTGTTAGCGCAACTGTTCCTGTCAGGGGTTTTTTTTGTGTTTCTTACTGTTCTACTTAAGACAAAGAGGAACATATTACTTACAATAAAATTTTAAAAATTATATTCTTTTGACCATATTGTAGTTTAACCCCATCCAGCAACTAGGACCGTGCAGCCACTCGCTCGTTTCCCCCTGTTTTGTATGGGGAGAGAACTGGAAGAGTAGAAGTGAGAAAAAACTCTTGTGTTGAGATAAAGGTGGTAAAGAGTTTAATAGGTAGAGCAAAAGCCCCGCACGCAAGCAAAGCAAAACAAGGAATTCACTCACTGTTTGCCATGGGCAGGCGGGTGTTCAGCCATCTCCAGGGCAGCCGGGCTCCATCATGTGTAACAGTTGCTCAGGAAGACAAAACACCACAAATCTGAATGTGCCCCTCTTCCTCCTTCTCCCCCAGCTTTATATATTGAGCATGATGTCACATGGTATGGAATATCCCCTGGGCCAGTCGGGGTCAACTGTCCCACTGTGTCCCCTCACATTATTTTGTGTGCTTCCAGTCTGCTCAAGGTAGTGTGAAAAGCAGAAATGGCCTTGACTGCTCAGCAACAACCAAAAGCACCAGTGCGCTACCAACAGTGTTCACAAATCCAAAATACAGCACTACACCAGCTGCCAGTAAGAAAATCAACTCTATCCCAGCTGAAACCATGACATATAATCAAATTATACAAGTGATGAAAATCCAGACGAAGAAGAGGTTTCCCAATTTCACATAAATGGAGTTTAAAACTTTTTTTCCCCCCTGTATATGCTGTTTTGCCACATTGTGCTTTATGAATACGGTGCTGCTTTTCTTTGGATGGATGCTCTTCAACTGATGTGACTGTTCCTCCTGCCTCTCCATTAGAATTGCTATGTTCAGATTCAGTAACAGCACAGAAGGCAAGTTAGCGACTTGCTTTGTTGTTGTTTCTGCTGCTGAAGATGTGCCAGGGTTCAAAATAACAGCATGAAATTCCATGAATGTGGAAGATGGGTTATATAAGTGAAATTGCAGCGTGCTAGTTGCTAAGGCATTTATTTTCTGTGATTGAGCAGCAGTTCTGGATATCCTCTCCAGAATTATTCTTGTTGGCATTAAACCTAGGCTTACCTGAATTCTTCTCTCTTCTCCCTCCACCCCACCCCCCCACCTGCTTTTACAGGCTGGTCCATGAGCTAAAAGTGAACTGCATGCGGAGGAGGAAGATAGAAATTCACAGTCCAAATCCCTTAGTTGCTGGAACCAACAATTTTAAAATAATTGTGGTATGTTATGAGAACTGTTAAGTCTTTAGGATAAGAGAGCCCATCTTCAGTGAAAATACAGGATCTTGTAATCAAATCCCATAGGTCAAATTTTGCTTTCAAAGATGCGTTATTCCTGTTGTGTCACTTCTCAAAATCTGTGCTTGGTAATTTTAAACAGGTAGGAAGAGGTTGTTCCTTTCCTAGAAAGGGAAATGGTGAAAAGGTTGGATATGAAAGTGTTTGGGCTTTTTTTTTTTAAGCTGATCAACATGTTCTCTTGGAAATAAGTAGATAATTAGTTTATGGGCGGGGGACTGGAGAGGATTCAGAGAAAGAAGAAAAGGGAAGAGAAGAATTTGGGGAGTGGCAAAGTCTGCGGTCCAGCAAGTCTATGTAAACATCAACAATAATTTTACATCTCATGACCTGAAAGCAGTTTCTGCTGGTTTTGATGGTATTGTGTGTGCAGGAGAGGTCTCTGGAGTAAATATCTGTTACTCAAGGACTGAATCCTTTTCTTACTCACGTTTTCTCTGTGCATGCATATAAAAAGGAGTTGGCCACTGTTTTTAGATATAATGGTACATGGTGGTGCTAAAGGGATGTGTTGTTTCATTTTTAGACCTAATGCAGCTCTTTGAAGCTGTTGTTTCCAGTAAGTTCCTAGTAAGTGTGACCAGTAAGCTTTTATTTTACAGGCAGATGCTGCTTGTGAACGGATATTCACTGTGAACGATGTAGAGTATGGAGGATGTAAATATGGCATCATCAACCTGAGTGGTCTGGGGAAGGAGTCTCTCACTGTGAAGATGTACGACAACCTCTACTTCACAAACCGCAAAGTACTGTGTCCTGTTCCCTTCCGTTGTTGCATTCTCAGAACACTGTTCTTGGGAGGCATGAGGGCTGGGAAAGAGGGTAGGAGGAGAGAATGGCAGCATCTAGCAATGTGCAGTTTGAATAAACACAGAAACACAGTAAACTTGTCTCTGAAAGTCCTCAGTAGCAGTGCTAGTTCTCATGAATGTTACGTTGGAAAAGGAAGACTATGTAGAAGTACCAGCTTCCAAGGATAGTGCTTGCTTCAGAGTTGCACTTGGCTGTGGCTGAAAAAACTGATGTTGAGGGCCAGAAACTACTAAGATTTGCATGCTTCTTTCTTAAATGTAGTTTTGGGAAAATGTGTTTATCCTTGAACGTGAAGAAAATTTAAAACAGGCTTTCATAATCTCTTCATGCTCAGATTCTTTTAAGGACACTTTGGGAAAATGTGTTTATCCTTGAACATGAAGAAAATTTAAAACAAGCTTTCATAATCTCTTCATGCTCAGATTCTTTAAATGTAGTTTTGGGAAAATGTGTTTATCCTTGAACGTGAAGAAAATTTAAAACAGGCTTTCATAATCTCTTCATGCTCAGATTCTTTTAAGGACAATCTCTTTAATAATAGGATGTGTGTGGTACCTCAATCTGTGTTTGGACAGACCTCGCAGTGCTGCTCTGTCTCCTACATTTAAGAGGAGTATGAGGCTAAAATGTTCGTGTCCCATTACTGGGCTATTTAGTGGTCTAAGAAGCGTGCCAGCACATAGTTTTGTGTCATCTTTGCATGGAAATACCTTTTCATGAATTGAATAAGAGATCACAAAAATGGTATGTCTTCTTGTGTCCGAAGGTGAATTCTGTATGCTGGGCATCATTGACTCATCCAGATTCTCATGTTTTATATCCTTTTTAAAAAAAGCAAAATTTCAGTTTAACTTTCACAAGGCTGCATCATGCTGGTTGGTTGGTTTCTGTTTTAAACCATGGGTTTAAAACATATGGGTTGGGGCAAGAGGGGAATGGGAGCAATTCATTGGGATCGTGCTCTGCAACTTTCAGAGCATGTTCTGCAGATCTGTCTCAGAAGGAAGGTTGATGGCATAGTAGAAGCAGCAGTAATGGATGCTGCAGAACTGAAAAGAGAGGAAGAAAAGGGGATTTTTTACGTGGGAGATGGCAGGCAACAGATGTGCTATTAAAATGCCAAAAGAGAGGAAATTATGTAGAAATATATGTTATGGCTCGTGGGAAAAGCCAAGCAATTCATGCGTGATCCAGAAGGTGGCAGGAGTTCATCAGGCTGGCTCGCAGCTGGTGAGGAGTTGGGGATTGTATCAGCACGGAAAGATGAGAAGAATGATCCATGTAGGCCATGCATTTATTTATTTTTTCTATCACTAGGAAGGTGCCTTAGTATTCATCTTGTCTTTTTGGCAGTGAAAATGCATCAGCAAGTATTTGAGTTCTTTCTAGCTCTTTCTAGCTGTGAAAGAAATGAAAAGTCAAGACTTAAATGTAAACTGTAAGGCACATCAGTGGTTTTAAAGGGAAAGTATTGTGAGCTGTGGCTGTGTCAGAGCATCTTGCTTTTCCCAGCTATAAATGTTCAGCAGCCTGTTCCATTCTAGGCAGAAGTCTTTGTTTTCCTTAACTCATTTCATCAAGCTGTGCCTCATGGGAATTGCAGAAACTCCAGGCTGTGCCAGTCTGCTTCCAGAATCGTTGTTCAGCAGCACAAACCCAGGTAGGGTGTTTTTGTTGTGGTGTGGGTTTGAGGTTTTTTTCACCAATTTTCTGTAGCAGTTATGGTATGAAAAGAGCTTGAAGGAAAGATTATTTTCAGACTTTTCTTCTGTAGCTGGTGAGACCGTTGTATTCTTGAAAAACTTAGAAAATCTGAAACAGTTTAAGATGAAAGAACTTACCTTAATAATTAATTAACTAGTGCTTTGAATACTGCTTGTTTACTTTTAGCTGATGATGATGTAGTACTTGACTTTGGCAGAACATCTTACTTGCAGAGTGAAGTTTGGGATTTTTCATGAGTAGCTTGCCCTGTAACTAATACTCAGAAGCTACACACAATAAGTACTCAAACTTCTTATTTGGACTATCTAGAATCGTGTCAGAATCCCTTCTCACAGTAGCTACTCGAATATGCTCAGTGGATTAATCAAAGGTGGAAAGCTGGTAAATGTCTCAGCCCATAGCTCCTTGTACAAGCTCATGTTCAGTTGTGTGTAAGCGTGATTGACTTAGAGAATCCCATGTCTTCAGTCTGATGGCTGTAGCTGTATCTTTTGTGTATTTATTCAGTATTCTTGTGGCAGGTCGTTATTAATTGGACTTTCTTGATAGATGTCAGAACCATGCTTCTTCAGGTCATGCACCACAGTGCTCTGACCTGGAGGTTTCCATTCAGACATGATCAGATAACTTCATACAGAGGAAATCTGTGATAGATGAGAGTTATGGACCTACTTTACATTTTTAATGTCGTGCTATTTATGCAGCCATTAAAAAAAAAAAAAAAGCAGAGCATTAGCATGAGCTTGACAAGTCACTAGAGTGGCTACTAGGCCAGCATGCCCAATTACTCTGTAGAACATCTTCATTCCTTCACCATAATCAGATGACCAGAGTTCCATCAAAGTCCTCCCGTCTAGTATTTCCTATTGGCTGGTTTAGGTATTTCCAAGTTCCTTGACTGACTTCACTCTCCTCAATTGTTGGTTTGAGGGAACCTTGCTAAGTAGATGCTGGGTGCAAAGTAGAACTTAACCCATCTAAAACTGTGTTTTAGACATGTCACCTGTCATGTCTGACATGCAGATGTGCCATGAAGGAAGTGAAAACTGCAGACTTAAAAGTTATGTCGATTAGTAGACTTTGTGCAGAAGCTGAGTGAGTAACAGTCAGATCTAGGGTGTTGTTACTTACTCAAACCTTTTTTTTAAATAGGCAGGCTAAGAAGTTAGAGGTTAGTCTTCGGCTAATCTATAAGTTATAAAGTAAATGTTTCTTATTTCTAGTCCACTTATCTTTAAAAAATGGCTTACTTAGTGTGTAAGAAAAGTGTTATTTTTCTTTTTTCCTGCCACAGTCAGCCCTCTGACTACTGAATAAATTTTAGTCTCTCACAATCATCTGTCTATATAGAATATAAGTCTTCAGCTTATAGTCATGAAGTCTGACTTTTGTTTCCTGTCTCTGGAGTAGCACAGGGATGCTAATTGGGTAATGTTTTCTCTGCTTCAGATTGAAATGTTGAAAGAAATATGGAAATCCAGAGAAGCTTTGTGAGTTATCATTCTGTACTAACATTTTATGGACACTTCATGAGTTGCTCCTCTCTCCTAGGCGATCGACTTGGAATGCTGTGCAGCTTCACGATATCCACGGGCTGGTCCTGTGCTTGGTGCCGGAATCCCCAGGTAGACACCTGCTTCAGCACAGGTGATCCGCAAGGCCAGCAACCCCTTCTGTCTCCATGAGAAAGACTTCTTGCATTAATCTCCCAGCTGCTCCCCATATTACAGCTAAACAAACATAATCTGTCTTCCTTAGGCCTGACGCGGCGAGTTCTTGTGACCAATGTAGTGACAGGGCATCAACAGACATTCGGAAGCAGTAGTGATGTACTGGCACAACAGTTTGCCACACAGGTAAAGAGAACCTCACACCCTTCGTTTCTCAGAAGGCTGCCTCATGGCCAGGCTTTTTGTTCTGGTTGTGATGGGACTCAGCGTGCTGTATGTAAGGTTACAATTACAATTATTGTTGGACAGCTGTTCCACAACAGCTGGTGTGGTCTGATGCTTGCACACAAATAGCAAAAAAAGATTAATTTATTTCAAGCTCTGTGGTAACAGGGATAATTTTTGTGAATCGTGCAGAGGTAAAAATGGAATGAAGTAAAAAGAACACAGTACTAATGCATTGTAAAGTTGTTTGGGTTTTGGTGAATGACCTCATTTTGTTAACACTCGGTGTATTGTCTCCATCAAGAAGAAGAAAACCCCTATAAAATGCTACTGGACTTGTTCACAAAGATTAGTGAGAAGGGTAAAACTGGAATATGAGAATTCCGGTTCCTGTTTTGCTGTTACATTAGACTTAAGTTTCTACTTACCTAGCTGAATGTTTTTTACAGCTAAAGTAAGTAGTTGAGGTTTGAATGGACCTAACAAGTTGGCTCCTGAAAAATGTTGCAATGTGTAGTAAAAATTCTGGCTCTTAAGGCCCTTGTTAATAAAATAATCTGACAGCTGCACCAGAGAGCTCAAAAGCTTGACATAACTTCTGTCTGCATAACTTGTAAGATCCTTTCAAATGTTAACATAGTAGGCTTCTTCCTCTTGGATTCTTCCAGACCCCGGTGCTGTACAACGGCTGCCGTTCAGGGGAGATTTTCAGCATCGATGTGCGTCAACGCAACCGAAAAAAGGGCCAGGGCTGGAAAGCCAGTCGTCTCTTCCACGACTCAGCAGTTACCTCTGTTCGCCTTCTTGAGGCTGAACATTATCTTATGGCAGCAGATATGGCTGGAAAGGTAGGGGTTTGTTGCATTTTGGATATTCTGTTCCTTTTAGGATCTGGGCATTGAGAGGTGCTTATCCCAGTCCTGAGGGTGGGTGCTTGTTCTTTGGTGGGGTGGTATGGAACTGGGCTGTAGTCCCAAATATGGGTCCTTTAAAGATCCACTTATTATTATCAATCATAAAGGGCTCTCTGCTTTTTTAATACACCGTCCTTCAAACAATTGCTTCGACTTGCAGATAAAACTGTGGGACCTGAGAACAAAAAAGTGTGTGAAACAGTACGAAGGGCATCACAATGAATATGCTCTTCTCCCTTTGCATGTAAATGAGGAGGAAGGACTTCTTACAGCAGGTGAGTTTGCTTGTTTCCCCTCTACATGTAGAGTGCATGGCAGTGATTTTCTTGTGCATGAGCAGTGTTTCTTAGCTACAGCTGTTGGAAGCTGTTAATTCTTTAAAATTCAGAAGAAATTAAGCCTTAGACATATTGTCATATACGATGAAAATGAAGAAATAACACTATGGATGCGCACCTACTATAATGACTCCTGTGTAGTGCTTAATGGCTTTATCTGCTGCGTCCTGCAAAAGTCCTGTTGTCCCTTCCACAGTGTGTCTCGAGTACAGCAGAAAACACTTGATTTTGAAATTCAGGGGAAAAAATGTGTAAAAGGGAGACTTGGTGATAACTTTATATAGAGACTGAAGACTGTGTATATGTTTATTTAGTGCATAAGTGGGTAGTGTGGTGAGGACTGAAGCACTGATTTGGAAGTATAACTTCTTGTAAACTGTCTGTACCACTTGGGTTTATTTTTAATATGCTTGGCTACAATCTGAGATTATTTATCTTATTTTATTTCATTTGGGGTCGGGTGAGGAAAGGTAACAATAAATGAAGCAAAGCATAGCCAAGTGTCACTGTAAACAGTGACCTCCTCTCTTTGTATTTGTCTGTAAGTGATGGAGCAATGAGAAGAATTTTTGTTAATTTGGCAGTTTTTCTCCCCTTTTTTGTCTTAGAAGTCTAAATACTGATCTATCATGTCTTTTATTGCCTGAAATGGAGACTTACCCCACTTTTGCAGTACTCGGTGTAGAATTTCTGTTTCGTAAAGTATTAATAAGCACTTTGCCTCCAGCGTGTGTGGAAATCATCAGGGCTTTTACCCCATGGACCACCTGCTTCTGTGATGATAATCCTGCAGAGCTGTGTAAAGTACTTTCTGTGTGATACTGAATTTTGGTGTCCTTTCCTTTCCAGTTGGTCAGGATTGCTACACCAGAATTTGGAGTCTCCAAGATGCCCATCTGCTTAGGACCATCCCTTCTCCCCACCCATCCTCCAAAGATGCCATTCCCAGTGTGGTGTTTTCTTCAAGACTTGGGGGTAGCAGAGGAGTTCCTGGCTTACTCATGGCTGTCAAACAGGATCTCTACCACTTCTCCTATAACTGACACAATATTCTCCTCAGACCTGGTCTACAAAGCTGCCAGCCTTATACATGTCTTAGCGGTCACCGTGCTGTTGAGTCCACTCTGTGCTGCTCTCGCATCTGCTTCACCCGTGACATTCTGAAGCTCTTCCAGCAGGTTCAGCAAATCTTGCTGTATACGTCTCGAACATCTTGAAAATAAAAGCTGAGTGCTGATTAACTTTTTTAAGCAATATTCAGCCTTTTTTGAAACGTAGCTATGAGCTTGGGAAAGCTGGTACCGTGCAGTAAGGGCCAGACTCATGCTAGCTGAATTTGCTGTCAACAGGCTGCTCTAGCTCAATCCTAGTTTGGTCATATCTCCATTTAGCTGAGGTTACAGCTGCATTAGGAAGTTGGCTGGTGCAACAGAGTGGATTAGCAGAGTGAAGTAGCTGGTCTTGAGAAGGTGACACAGTAGGTGTTCTGGGGCTTTTTTTTTTTTGGAGCCCTGCTCTGGGTCCCCGCATCAGCTGTCTCTACTAGGTCTGTGGCTGGAAGCAGACCAAGGGACAGCTGTTTCCCACTCGCACTGTGAGCCCTTTGACCTGGGCTGTGCTAAACTTTGTCCTTTTCAGATGATGGAAGCGTGCCACCACCCTGCCACCCTTCCCTTGAAAAGGCAGCACGTGTATAACCAAGCCCCTTTCCTGGTCCAATAGCCAGGCTGAATGTCCCTGTTTATTTGTCATAGTGTTTCCTAACCAAGTCCCCACCCCTAACCTGGAGTTGGGCCTGCAGTTGGGAAGAGTTTCCAACACACTCCTCTCCCCTTTCCTTCCATATTCTAAAAGACTTTGGATAAGAGGGAATTACTCCAATGTAGGTGCCAGGAATGGTTGGCGCTACTCAAAATCCTCCCTGTCCTGCAGGCTCCACATTTATTTGCTGTCCTCTCTCAGCCTTAGGGCCAAAGCGATGTGCTGTTCTAGGAAACTCTCTCTTTCTTCTTAGCAGCTCCTACAGCTCCCCACACTCTCTGTATTTCTTTTGCCTATTAATCAATGTAGAAGACAACAGAGCAGGAAGACTCTCCCCTTGAGAGCAGTGTAGTAACTTCACAATGTGAATATATTCTATGCGAAGTAGCTGTTGCAAGGGTAGTCAAGACAAGAGATGAATGCCAGCAAATATTCAGAAGAGTTTCTTCCCTGTCTGAGTATACGTTCAAAACTCCCAATCTTTCCTATATCCCATTCCTATCCCATTAAGCACATTAAGGGCCATCTCCTGTTTCCCTGCAGGCAGGTTGAGCTGTGAATTCCTTACAGCTACAGCTCCCCTGATGCCTCTGGCTGTAGCATCTCTCTGCAGAGCTGCCTTTCTCACCCAGAACAGGTGGATGCTGCTCACAGCCTACCCTGTGCTGCCTCTCCTTTTCACAGAGCTGCCTTCTAAGACCAAGGTTCCCCTGTTCTCCTCAGATGGTAAGTGCCTCTTGCAGGCTCTTATTCCCTCTGCTGCTCTTGGGGAACCAAGAGACCAGTTTGGCCAGTGTCATCACACTCCTGGCTCTGTCTTCTTTTCCATTTCGGAAAATACTCTGCAATTTGTCTTGATTAATCATGTTAACTTGGGACATTTTCTGTTGCGTGCACAGTGATTAATACATGCAGGAAACTTTCAAAAGCATTTGCATTGACTGATTTGCAGTTTGCATTATTAATTAATCATCTGTTCAGGAAATAGGAAACGTAGCAAACCCCATCCCACCACAAACTCCTAATGTGACTTCTGATAACAATGTTACATCCAACTCAGTTGGAACATCCTTTACATTGATGTTATTGCTAGTAAACGTGTGGTTCAGACACTTGCAGGTAGCAAACCACAAGGACCATGAGCTCCCTTAAATCAGGATTAATTCTAAAATTTAAATTATCATTTAAACACTTTTCAGTGCTGTTAACTCCAGTAATGCCTGTTCTGCAAGAACAAGACCATTGTGCACACAATTTTGCCCCGTTACCGTGGGAAATGCAAACTGGGGTCTGTGGTGGGAAGGCATCTTACATAACTGGAGACAGTTCATTTTCTGCGTTCCCTTCTAGGCAAAGCTCCTAAAACAAAAGATACTCATTTGCTTTCTGTTGTTTCCAGGAGCCAAACGCACACACATGTCCCTACAAACCCGTTCACCCAACTGGTGCTCTTGGAGCCAACACTTCTAATTAAGCCTGCAAGAACAGTATGAAAGGAGAGGGGACGCAGGGCAAGAAGAGAGGCAATTTGGTTTTGGTGGCAAACAGCCTGCAGGCTGTGGCTAAATCAACCATTTCACTCTGCAGCAGTAGCTAGGGCCGCAAGGCAGCTAAAAAGTAAGGAACTGCAGCCCTCTTACCCTCTGCTACACTGTCAAAATACAGTATTTCTTTGCCTCAGCTTCTCAGCAAATTCTGAACTAGTAGGAAATTTCAGCAAGGCCAAACTGCACCCCAAGACAGGCTGCGGCATCCCTCATCCAGCAGCACAATTTGTTTGGTCTCTTTTGCCCCCTGGAGCAAGGCTCAAAGGGGACCACCAGGCTCTCCTCACTGGCCAGATTCCTGGTCCTTCCCATCAACACGATTGCTTCAGAAGCCACAGTCTCACCCTTGGACTGTTCCATACACCCTGCTTCTATTACTCAGCTCTCAAGCCTGATTAAAAAGACTATTTCCACATAAAATCCTTTAGTTCACGTGAGGTTCTTGGACATAGCAGGTAGAAACTTCTATGGTTTTAACTTCAAGTGTCTAAAGCAGGGAGGGGACTTCTTTTGGGTGTTCTGTGGTGACAGGGGCTTATGTCTTTCTGTTGACCCTGACTTACTGCAGTACGTGGCTTCGTGGTCATTCCTCCTCTGTTAGTTTCAGTATTCATCTGGATAAGAGGCTAAAAAAAAAACCAATTTACTAGTCACAGTTTCACTCTGGCATTTTTACTTTTTTTGGAGCTTAATAGGGACCTTTTCTAACAGTACTAGAAAATTAAGCATTTGTTGCAAGGAAGTGAGAATTCGAACCAGAATGTGCACATAGTCTTGAGATGTCCCTTTAGCATCTCTTTAACAGTAGCTGCTTTCAGAAAAGTTATAACCCAGCAGTGGACAACTCCGCTTCGGTCCCCAAACCTTCAGTTGCTGGTGGCTGCTCGCACATACTGTGTATGCTGTGTATACTACCTATAATGTGAGCTGAACCAAGCTGTCAAGTTTCTAGACAGGAGTTCTGTGGAGAGAGGCTGGGGTTCAAAGATGTTAGATGTTATTTAAAGCACTTTACAAATTAGTTTCATGTTTCAAAAATGGAAGCCAAGGCACAAAGTTGATAAACCATTTTAGGTAACGTCTGAAAATATAATCAAGATCACCTTCACCTGCCTTTTCTTGTTTAAACAACTTCTTTCCTATCTGCAGTTCTATTAATACCGTGGTACTGTGAAGCACTCTGATGCCTTCCTGACAAGTCATCATCTGTACATTATCATACATACACCACTGCTTCTCTCCAGCGGTGCTGTAAAAAAACTGCCTTTTAAGCAGAACCAGAGAGATTAAGGCAGCTTTTCAAAATGTCAGAAATCAGTGTTTCACAATCTCCAGGTATTCTTGACATTACAATTTCTGTAATGCCACAATTGAGACATTTCCTACATGAGGACTTTTACATATATATATATAACTTGTATCTGTATTACTTTATTTTTTGCTTTAGTTATGTCCAATAAAAATGAAGTTACAAAGCTGAACATGCTTTAAATTCAGCTTAAGATAACTGAGTAGCTGCCATTCTAGTTTAGCTTTGTCTTTGTCACATTATACTGTTGATTTTGAAAGCCATCATAGTAAGTTTTTATTTATTTTGGCATTGCCATGATTTCACTGTTGATGTGCCTGCACTAGGAACAAAAACATTTTAAGGCATACTATGTGCTGTGACTGACAGAATATACATGTCAACATTGCTTTACCATAAAGAGAGCTCAGCTAAAGCAGGGGGTGGGGATGCCACACAGACAACAAAGAAACAGACAGTTCTATCACTTGTCCAAATCACTCTCTGTGCTCAAATTACTGGCAGGCAAAGATGTATCTCTTGGTGCCAAATTCTATTACAGCCATCAGAATAAATCAAATGCAGGGACGATGCCACAAAATGTGGAGTTACAGTGAGTGACAGCATCAGTTGACAATGAAACATGAAAATGAGAGGCTGCAAAATAGTGTGATAATAGCACTTAAACCTCCCCAGGCTGCTTATGCTGGAGGCAAAAAGCTGTAGAGCAGCAAAGTCTGTGAGCCCAGGTGGGAAGCCAGAGTCCTGCAACGTTACAGCCCAGGCTGCTCAAAGCAACAGGAGAATTTGTGAGCGTCCCAGCACAGCTCCAGCAGCCAGACACCGGCATGAACGCGAGGCAGGCCTACAGGAATGATGATGTTTATTGCAATGAATAAACTCTTGTTGACATCCAAAGCCAGCGAGGGTGGTCACGTGTTCCAGAACAGAGCCAAAGGTCCCATTCACAAGTGACACAGGGAGGAACATACGGGACACCTTGGAGACCTTCAGTGAGAACTTCCCCTAAGAGGAACTGGGCAGGAGGATGCAGGAGCAGGAAAACTAATAGGAGGTGGGGGAGAACAGAGTGGGGGGACAGACTGAAAGACAAAGCAGTTGTTCTTGTGCAAGTAGCTACATGTAGCAGCCTGCTGCTGCCCTGACAATAGCCACGTGTTAGGGCCCTGCTGTTCTGCCATCTGTTTGCCAGAGCTGCGAGTCTCAGGGACAACACGCACCTGGTATCGACATTCCAGCCAAGTCTGGCCCAAGAGCATGCACACCTATATGAATTTCATGTATATCTGCTTCACGAGAGGAGAGGAAAACCCACAAATCCTATTCGAAGATGAATCTTTATGCTGAATTGGTGTAGGTATGCACAATGGGAAAAAAAAAAATCCATCAGAATAGAGCAATCGTTGAATCTTTATGCTGAGTTGGTGTAGGTATGCACAATGGAAAAAAAAAATCCATCAGAATAGAGCAATCACATCAGACATTTTTTCCTCCACAAATCTAGGCTCATTTTGTGGTGCTTTGAGTGAGGAATATTTTTTTCACTGGGGCATATATTTGCACATCAGTTAATTTACATGATTCTTATTTCACTAGGTGTTTTCCGTAGCATTTGCTAATGAGAAGAGG